CTGGGCAAGAGTCTCGTAAGCACCTGCACTATAACCTGGGCAGGGATGGGAAAGTTACATACGTGGTTATGCTTAGAATATGTCCCTTCCTCTATGTCTAGTTCATCCTCCAGGGAAACTTGGTGATGTAATTCCCTGTTTAAAACCCTGCCAAGCCTATGGCATAAAGCAGAAGTCACACACCACCTAGGGCCTCAGGGGAGCCTGTCCTGCCCCCTCCCCAGGCGGTTCCTCTGTCCCCCTCGTCACCCTCCATTACACCCTCACCCACCTGTGCTGCCCTAAATTGGATGCACTTTTCAGCACGCCACATCTTTACACATGCCTCTGCCCTCAGCCCTCCAGCACGGGAGCACTTCCATGCAGTCGACGAGCACTGTCCCCTTGCCTGGCTCCCTGCACTGGGCTCTGTACCACCCAAAGGCTATTTACCTCTGTATTTCAGAAACCTAGCCCAGTGGTTAGCCCGTGACAAGCAGATAGCAGATATTGTTGGCTAATCAAAAGGCAGGGCAGATGTGAATGGAAGAGAGGAAGTCAACATTTGTTAACAGTCACTTTCTAAGCTTGGGGAGGAGTTGAGAGAGACCAACTTGGTAAGTCCCCCCCTCCCCCCACTTTGATTAAAAAATAAAAAGTAAAGCCCATATGATAAAATTTCATTATTTGTTAATTTTGAGTATGGGTATATAAAATTCCCTCATTGAAAAGAAAAAAGACAACAAGAGGGGAAAATAGAATAAAGATACGTGTATACACATATATACACATAAATATTTATTTTCAAGATAATAGAAATATGACATTTTATTAAACATTTTTTATTGCATGGCACTTGAGTTTGGCATATTCTTAAAAGGGGCTGGAATAGCATCTACAAGGGGTGCTGAGCAGGCAAAGGGGCTGGGGTCTGCTGAAAAACAGTAGGACTGGACAGTGAAGAACTAAAAATCCAGAAACTGAACAACAGCAAAAATACAAAAAGTGACAAAAAATTTTTGTGGCTATTACTAGATTTAATAAGGGATGCGCATTCTTTCTTAGAATATTTTTTTTGTTTTCTAAACATATCTTGAAATTCCTGAAGTGCTCATTTACATCAGAAAAAAAATCATTTATATTTTTCTTGGTTTAGAAAATTACCAAATTTCTTAATGTAGTAAAATTATCTTATATTAAATAAAGAATATGTAGTACATTTAATTAAAAAATTAAGCATAAAAATGTTTTGCTAATTCGAGCTATCTTAATGTTACCAACAAATATTATTTTAGATAATGTCTAGCCTAACAAACAATTTAGAAAGTCAAATAATAAGGAAGCATATGTTAAAAACAAGCTTTCATGTAGTTACAGCGTTTCACAGCAGAGCAAGGAAGAAGTAAATGCTGTTTTAAACGGATATTCACAACATGTTAACCTCAGTGTTGTCATTCTGGGGGGATCAAGGAAAATGATTCATTAAAGAACCTTAAAGACTTCAATTTCACAGCCTTGTGTTATCACCGTTTGACACTTTTTTTTTTTTTTTACAAAGTGACAAAACTAAGAACTATCTCACCTTTAAATGACTCGTTAATGGCTGCTCTGTGAAGAATGGGATTTGAGGTTCATGAAGTAAACAGTACTAGAGCAGACCTCTATTTCCTTTTACCTGGAAAAGGAAAGCATCAGCTTACTTTTTGTTGTTTTTTTAAAGTTTTTATTGATTTTTAGAGGGAAAGGGAGAGAGAGAAACATCCATCAGCTGCCTCCTGCACATCCTGCAACCTGGGCATGTGCAATCGAACCTGCACTCTTTCGGTGCATGGGACGAAGCTCAACCAACTAAGCCACATCAGCCAGGGCTTAGCTTTCTTTTCAATGTCACCATAAATATCTTACAAATGCTGTGTTATTGGGTTTTATTTTCTTAATGTGTGGATGACCTCAACTCCCATTCTTCACAGAGCAGCCGTTAAAGATATGAGGCATTTAAAGGTGAGAGAGGTTATGTCACTTTGTTAAAAAAGAAAAAGTGTCAAAAAGTGATAACAAACTGTGTGGAATTGAAGTCTTTAACGTTCTTTAATGAATCATTTTCCTTGATCCCCCCAGAATGACAACACTGAGGTTAACATGTTGTGAATATCCGTTTAAAACAGCATTTACTTCTTCCTTGCTCTGCTGTGAAAAGCTGTAACTACATGAAAGCTTGTTTTTAACATATGTGGATATCATTTTTCCAGAAACTGTCTAATGGCAGTGAAATAGGACGATGAATTAATCCACCTCTCAATCTTAGAGTGTTGCTACAGGTATCAGTCTGAATGGAGAAGCTGCCAGGGCAAGGGAAGGCTGGAGCAGTTCATCAGGCACAGGCAACTGGTTTCTTTCGGAAGCATTTGTCGTGGCCTCGTCCAGGGTGGCAGTGGGAGCCCTGCCCAGGGGCCCCTCCTGGGCTCCAGAGAAAGTCCGGACACAGCTTTGCCACAGAGACTGGGTGACTTGGGTCTGACTGGTGTTTTTACTTTGGGGCAGGGATGGAGGAGATGATGCCCTGGGGGTGTGACCAGTTATGAAATGTGGACCTCGATTTGTTTTCATAAGAAAGCATCGTATGTGGAAGGAAATGTGAAGGTGTTATTATTGTAATACTGAAAACTTAAATTTTTATAGATTTTTAAAAACTCTAATTTGAAATAATTTCAAACTCACAGAAACTTTTCCATGATAGGAGCGAAAACCTCTGATGACTTTTCATCCCGACTTAGCCTCTGCTATTTGCCACAGATAGCCTCTGCTATCTGTCTACACACACACATGGTCACAGTTTTCTGAGCCCTTTGAGACTAAGTTGCACACATCATGTCCCTCGACCCCTTAGTACCTCAGTGTGTATTTCATTTTCTAAGAACAAGGATATTATTTTTCCTAACCACAGTAGTATAGATACCAAATCCTAGAAACTCAACAATAGACAACTATTAACTAATCCACAGTCCAATTTCATGAGCCGACCCCCAATTTTCCAGCACAGAGTCCATTCCAGGATGGATCACGTATGCATTTAGTTCCCATGCCTCCCTGGTCTCCTTCAATATGGGCAGTCTGTGACGTCAGCATTGTGGAAGAACTCAGACCGGTATTTATGAAACGTCTCTTAGCTGGGGGTTGTCTGCTTCTCCTTTATGAGCAAGGTGATGTAGTTTTGTAACACACGACGGATGTGTCCTTTCCAGGCTATGCCTACAATGCTCTTTGTTCCATTACTGGTAATGTTAATTCTGATAAGGTGGTTAAGCTAGGGTACAATTTCTCCACTGTATAGTTCCTATTTTCTTTTGTAAATAATGAGTAACATGTGGGGAGAGATTTGAGATGATATAAATAGCCTGTTCTTCATATACTGAGGGTTCGTCCCTGAATAGAGTTTAATTCTGATTATTCCACACTGTGATTTTCCCATACCATCATTTTTTCTATTTATTACTTTACATTTTACTGAAAGGAAAAGCATTTCCCTAGCCTCTGTAGGTATATATATATAGATATATATAGATATAGATATATATAGATATAGATATATATGTAGTTATCTTGCTAATATCACTATGAACTCATAGATTTTCCCCATCTCCCCCATGAATGGATTCTATTACATGCTGTCCTTATTTAATTTGGTGCTCAAATCTGATGTCTCAGGTTTGGCCAGGGGACCCCCTCAAGCTGGCTCCAGTGTTGCCATGGCATGCCCCTCCATTACACAGCACCCCTTTATTCTTTGCATAAGGTGGTCCAGGTCATCTTGCACTGCCTTTCCCTGCATCTGGGACCCACCATTTCTCTCAAGAGGCTGGGCCCCATTTGTGAGCAAAAGTATTTAGAAACCAGATCTGGGAAGTGAGTGTGCTCAGTGTTCCTGGGATGCCACTGCTTCCGATTCCTTTCAGTTGACAGAGCTAAGACACATGCACATACACACATGCTTATTAAATCATACGTTTATGCTGATAACTCTAATTCCAATCCAACCCCCCAGAGTTCTTCCTTGTCTTCCCCCTGTACTATAGTTTTATTTTCCTTCTTCAACAGTAAGATCAAGCTATTTCCTCATTTGCTCAAATATACAACGTAATTTCATAATTGCTGTATATGTATCACTATGAAAAATAAACCTACAAAGACTTTAAGATTTCTTTGCAGTTCTTTTTTTCTTTTCTATTTATTATTATTATTTTTAAAAATCCTCACCCAAAGCTATTTTTCCATTGATTTTTTTTTTTTAGAGTGGGTGTGTGTGTGGGGGGGGGGGGAGGTGGAGAGAGAGAGAGAGAGACAGAGAAACATCAATGTGAGAGAGACACATTGATTAATTGCCTCTCTCACACACCCCGACCAGGGCTGAGGACTGAATCAATAACTCAGGCATGTGCCCTTGACAGGGAACTGAACCTGGTCCACGAGCTGACGCTCCAACCACTGAGCCACACCAAAAAGGGCAGTTCTCTTTTTCTTTAGACAGAAGGCATACCATGTTCAAAAGTTACTGAAATTAATTCCCCCCTCCCCTATGATTATGTTATTCATTTAAAATACAGTTGTATCATTCATTTCTGTTCTTTTTAGTTTTACTGTTGTCCCAATCAATTTGCTCTTTGAATAGGTAATACACCTGACTCCAAAACCACACAAAAGGGGTACTCAGAAAAGCACCACTCCCTCCCCATCCAGCTGCCTTCTTCGCTCCCTCCCTCCCCTTGCAGGGAACCAACTTCAACAGTTTCTTGTATATATGAAGTATTACAGATCTTAAGATAAATGATCATAATGTATTTGTTTTTAAATCATGCCTTCCTCAAACTCATAAGACCCACAGTAGCCAATAAAAGCCCAAAGTATCTATCACTGCTACAGGTGGCATGTTAACTGCTATCAAAAAATCTCTGTATTTATAAGCTTAGTTCACTTAAACTGCTTGAAGTTTGAAGCATTGGTAAGTCCCAGGTGTTATTGATTACCTGTTCCTCAGAAACTTCTAGAGGAGGAGATGCTTGTTGTTCAGCCCGCCGACCTTCCTGATAGTTTATATTTCGTCGCTGACGTAAAGGAGGGAAAAGTCGATTCCAATTGATCATTCCTCCCTAAAAAGAGATCAATACACAATGGTCAGACACAGAGGGGCAGAACTGTCATAATGCTTGGGAGAGCTTTCTCTTCCAATGCTGTCACATAAATAGACTGAGAAATAAAATGTCAAACTGATCTGCTGTCTGCAAGCAATCTACATCCTAAAGTATCGCACCATCCTTCAATCAATAGGGTAAAATCAATAGAATGCAGGAGCACAGAGAGAAAAGAAGGTAATGAGTCCCGTCAAAGTTAGTTGTGCAATTTGGCTCCAGAAGGCAGAGGCGTTCCCAACTTCAGCCCCACTGTGTCCCACCTCCACTGACTCTGAGGAGCTCAGGGGCTTTCTGGGTGTGATGGAAAAGAAGGCATGGAGAGCAGGTGAATTCACTGCAGGCAACCAGAAACTGGGCTTCCTTCAGCAGCTCTTTAAAATGCTCCTCTTCCTCTTATTCAAGTACATTATGTGCATGCTCAGTGGAGGGAGCCTGCAGGTGGTGATAAAACCCAGGTTGAGGGACAGGCTAGGGAATGTGAAGGTAGCCCTCACACAGGGACAAGAGGCTCAGACGCAGGATCAGAGCTGTCCTCCTGAGTGGCTCCATGCATAATTTAAGATGGATGGCAATGCCACTTCTTGCTTATTCTACGTTATCAATGAAAAGGAAACCACCATGTGAAGGAAAGCATTATATGATGCTTAAAAAACAACACCCCACATTTTTAGCTAAATGCCAATATTTTAATGTATTGAATTAAATATCTATTTCTAGATTTAGGAAGAATTATAGACTGAGACAACCTGAAACTTTACAACAAGAATAAATAAAATAAAAAATATTTCCCATGTATTGCTGGCTGCAAAATGAAGCAATGGAGGCCCAAGGTGCTAGAAACAAGCTCTGGGAAGCGGCAGCAAGCGGGCAAGCAAGCTACCAAGGACAGGGGTGTAAGAGTGAGCACCTCCTGCCAACCCAGAGCCTCTTGGGTTGTACCACCTATTTGGGTCTGAAAGAGTTAGTCATTTTGAGCTCACTACCTACTTACAGGCACAAGCTCAAACGGCAGCACCCTCAGTGAAAGAGAGGACAAGAAAAACTAACCAAAGGCCGACCTTCCGCAGCGAGAAAGCAGGAATTGTGGCCTGCCTGAGACTTTAGAAATGAGGAATCTGGGGCTCCAGTTGCACTACACAAGCTCTAAGAACCCATAAAACTGGTCCTGGGATGGAGACGAATATAAGTGAGGAGCCAAGCAGAAGCAAATATAAGATTACTCTGGAGAGAGACCCTCCTACCCTAGGACGACATGTGCTTTGCAGATGTAACTCCAGTGGGGAAAGATTCAGAATCCAAACCCATCACAAGCAAGAGTAGTGTGTACAGTAAGTAAGAGGGTTAGATCCCCAAGAACCTAAATTTAGAACAATCTTAAAACAACTATGAAATCAGAAGTTTAAAAGTGACTAAGATACAGAGGAAGACTTAAAAAAATCATTATAAATTTTTTTGAAAGAAAATAAAGCAATTAAAAAATAAATATATTATACAAAAAATTTCTGGAGAAATACTTGCAGAATTAAATTCAAATATATTAGTGGTCACAATAAATATACATGGCCAAACTCACCAACTCAAAGACTGAGATTCTCAGTTTTGAAATCTCTCCTATCCTATTCCCATTCCCAACAACAGACGAACTAAAATATAAAGACACAGACAAGTTGGTGTAAAGAGATGGATAAAGGAATATCAGGAAGGTACTAACCAAAGCAAGCTGATGTTGCTATATTCATGCCAAATAAGACCTCATGGACAAAAAAAGGCATTTTTTTAGGGATAAAATCAGTAGAATACATTGATTTTTTAAAATTTAAAATACAACAGCATCAAAATATACAAAGCAAAAATTAAGAGAACTACAAGAGAATAAAACACATCCAGACATATTTTTAAATTTTAGCATATCTTGATAGATCAAGCAGACAAAAACAATAATATAGATAATAAAGAATAAGTTTTTTCTGAATAGATGTATATAGCCTGCACTCAATATTTAGAGACTATACAGTCTTTCCCATTACATGAAAAATATTTATAAAAAGTGACTGTGTAGCCAGGTGGTGTGGCTCAATGGTTGAATGTTGACCTCTGAACCAGGAGGTCAAGGTTCAATTCCCAATCAGGGCATATGCTGGTTTGTGGGCTCAATTTCCAGTGTGGGGAATGCAGGAGACAGCCTATCAATGATTCTCCCTCATCATTGATGTTTTTTATCTCTCCCCCTCTCCCTTCCTCTCTGAAATCAATAAAAAAATAAAATATCAGACCATATTGTCTGACCATAATGCAATTAAATTAGTCACTATCAAAATTATAACATACAAAATAAAAATTCACACAAATGGAAATAAAAAATGGAAAAAATCATAATGGAAATTAAAAAATATTTAAAAGTTAATAAAATTGAGATTATTAAATATTAAAGCTTGTGGAATGTAATTAAATAGTTGATATAATTTTAAAATATTGAGCTTAAATAGAGAAAATGAAGACTGCAAATTAAAGTACATTCAATTTAAAAAGTTAGAAAAAGTAAAAATCCAAAGAAATTAGAAAGAATAAAGTAGAATGTTGAAAGCAAATATTAATAAAGTGGAAAACAAAGACAATAGAGAGAATCAATAAAACCGAATACTTGTTTAAAAAGTAAAATGAAATGGATAAATCTGGAAAGCCTGGTGAAAAGACAAAGGAGCACAGATAATATTAGGAATAATACAAAGGTTGTAATGTAGATTTTAAAAAAGTCCTAAGAATACGTTATTCATACCAATAGCTTTGATAAAACAGAATTTTCTAGACTAATATGACTTATGAAAACTTACTCAAGAAGAAACAGAAATTGGTAACCATTTTTGAAAACTGTTCCAGAGCATCTGCTAAAACTGAACACGTGTGTCTGCCTCAGCAATTCCACTTCTGGACAACAGACCTGCAAACACATGTTCACCAAAGACATGGACTGGATGCTGCACTAGATGCATAATAAAAGACTAAAACTACTCAAATGTCCATTAAGTAGACTGAATAAATTAAAGTATAGTCACATAATATAATACTGTACAGCAGTTAAAATGAACAAACTACAATAATACACAACAATAGGGATGAATCTCTTAAATATAATGTTGAATAAAATAAATAAAACACAAAGGACACATTTATATGATTACTTTTCCATAATGCTTACTTTTCTGTATGTTATACTTCAATAAAAAGTTATAAAGAGAAATAGAAAACCTGAGTAGACTTCTAGCCATTAATGTAATTAAAATAGTATTTAAAAATCTACCCAACAAAAATCTAAAGGTGAAACCTATGAAACCTTTAATGAGTTGGTATCTTATACAAATTGTCCTAGAAAAGAGAAAAAGATGGAAAATTGTCCACCTAATTTTTTGAGGCTAATATAATGTTTGTTTGTTTTTTATCCCAAAACCAGACAAGGCCATTATGAGAAAGAAAAATTATACAACAATCTGTTTTTCATTTATGAATAAATGCAATAACCCTAAATAAGATGTTAGTAAATTCTAACAATGTTAAAAAATAATCTTATCTGGTATGATGTACTATATTAGGATTTATCTCAGGAATCTTAGAAAATATAGTACTGTAATTCACACATTAACAGATTAAAGAAGAAAAATCAATTTGATAAAACTTAGCACACATTCAAGAAGAGATAAGAATCCCTATTACCACCTTTTGCATTCAACATATGACATAGCATAATAAAGGCCTAAACCAACCAACATGAAAGAAAATGCAGAAGGAGGGAAAGGGAGAAAACAAAACTCATTATTCACACATGGTAACTGTCCACCTACAAGTTGAGAGGTAGTAAGAGAATCCTATATAATAAAAGGGTACTATGCAAATTGCCCCTAACAGCAGAACAATTGGGAATGACTGGTCACTCTGACACACACTGACCACCAGGGGGCAGACGCTCAATGCAGGAGCTGCCCCCTCCCATATATGTGTGCAATTAAGTTTGGTTATTTTCTCTTGTTAATCTGTCTCATGTTGATTTAATTTGTTAGACCAGCCAAAATAAAAAAGACTAGGGCGTGGCTATAGGGTTAAGCCTTGGACTGACCTGTTGGCAAAGCCACAAACAAGTCCTAGCTTAGAGAGGGCACAGTCCTCTTAGCATAATTAGGCTTGACCTTATGACGCTCCCTAGATCTTATCTGGGAAGCTAATGGCTGAGGGAGGTGCAGCAAGTGCTGCCAAAACAAGCGAAACTCACACGAACATTGTAACTATGGTGACCACTACCTTGTTTACCTCTGGCTGTAAAATAAAGGGCCAACTTGCTGTCTGGATCTCTTTCTCTGTGGCCTTAGCCAGGCACAGGACGATCCACCTAGACCCAGCTTATTCTCTTTGTCTGTCATTTCTTCATCCATTTACTGCCCTCACTCAGGCTTGTGGAACCCTTGGCTGAGCTGGCTCGACACAAAAAAGTATCAATAACATTCACCTACTGTGATCATTTAGAAAATGTAAGTACAAAAATATTACTATTTGTTACAAACAGAAATAAAAATTATTAGGTACTTAGCAATTAAATCCAAACAAGATCTCTAAGGAGAAAACAGTAAACTCTTGTTGAAGGCTATCAGAAGACCTAAATGAGTGGAAGACCCGATATGGTATTCTATCCACACACTGCCAATTCCAGCCTAGAGCAGAAGCTGCTGGTTGGCTCCTAATACCTAGCTTCCCTTTTCCTTAAAAATGGAATTTTTGGGGGTGACACATTACTACTGCATTTCTCAGCTTCCCTCCATGTACTCAGTTCTGCCAATGGTCTGGTAGGGCATGTGAGACCCAGGAGAGGTCTTAAAGCAAGGGTGCACCCTTCCTCATCCCTTCCTCCTTCCTGGAGCTCAGGCAGCCAGCCTGGGCAGAGGTGGGAGCTTCAGGCCGAGGACAAGGCAGCA